ATCACAGGTCATAGTGATCAGCCTGAGTTCTCCACTTGACGATACATTTTTTCGAATTGAAAACTGGAACATTACAAAAATTGTATCAGTGTCACATTAAAAATTTAGGAATAAGGTATGGCGATAGGAATAGATAGGTGTTTCATGTGCATGGTGACCGCAAAAAATTGACTTTGTTCGACGGAAATATCCCTATAATTTTTACTCAAGAGCATAAATCCGCATTTAGGGTCAAAAATCTGAATCTCTTTTTCATCCATCGTGTTATACTTAAAAGATCAATTGAATTTTACTTAAATGATTCAAGATATACGTCATCGCATTAGATTACACGGGTCTCCACAACCGACCTTAATTTCAACCATAGATGCAGAATAAGTCTGTATAGATTCGACTTTAATATGACCACAAGCGTATGGTAATTCGTGGATTATTCTTACCGAGTCGATTCAATTTTCATTAAAATTGCCGCTGATTATTTCCCAGATGGGAAAATCTAAATGCCGTACCTCATCCATAATTCAAATAGTTGACGAACAATTTGACGCACGACGTCCATAGCGATCAACGTCAATTTGAGTTTATGCCCCGCTGGGATGTTTAAAGTGGAAACGTCATCGTGGGGTCACTTTACAACCTCCCTAAATGCATGAATTTGTCTATATGATTAGTCCCGCGTATGTTCGCGCTAGGGTTATATTATTAGTAATAGTATTATATATAAATTATGCTATTACATCTCTTACCCGACTTCGACTAGAGTTGCATTGACTAGTAATAATATTTGTTTTTGATATTGGTAGTAATATTATACTTATTTATTGAAACGTTGGGTACATTGGTGTCGTGATGAATTTAATGACTTCAGCAAGTATGATGTCATAGATGATCATGGTAAAATCACGTATCACATATTTAGCTCATAATATTACAGCGCTGTATGCGTGCACTCGCTGTTGAAACATTCGACCAGTGCTAACGCGAATTCTACCCGGCTCAATTGTAATAAAACCAGAAATTGTAAAAAAAGATTATTCAAACACACCAAATCCAAGTTATCGTCGGAGAGTAGGATAGATATTAAATGAACTCCCACAATTTGAGCAAATTCCCGCAGAAGCGTCCCGATACATTATTTTGGGCAAATGATACCCGTTCGAAATAACCTAACTATGCGATATCGTAACCTAAATATTTATCATTGTTCCTAAATTGGACCATCCCTGGGTGGGCCATATCATGATAAAAGTAAAACTTGGCTTGGAAAGACCAGCCCGTTCTAAGTGAAGTTTACCTCGCGTTGACCAATGTGATGTCGCTTTTCTTGTATAATTTATTCACCTTTGTCGAAAAGCAATCATGTAACTTCACTAAATGAAATCGATCGAAACTAAAAAATCGAATTTTATTGTCGCTTAGCTGTGGTGATGCTGGTTTAAAGAAACTGTAATCAATAACCGGTGAAAAAATGCAGTTTAAAAAGGAGTCAGCAACAGTATTTATTATGCATCACGCAATATGCAAAGTCGTATCATTAATTGAATAACTGGTGTGTACGCAGCAACGCAAGAAAAATTTCTTTGCATGAGTAACAGGCGCATCGAGAAATAAAAAGCAGATTTTGGACAGTTTGTGAAACAGATTGTTAATAAATAGCATAAAGAGTGTATAATGGACTTACTAAATGGAATATTGCCATTTGAATGTAGCACAATTTTAAGGCTGTCAAATTTTACCTAGTATAGCGGTAGAGTTTTGTTCTAAATTATAGCGTACCGCAGTGTTGTTCAATGTTAGGTAGGTTGCATTGGGTTGTCTGATAAGCATTAGGACCATCGGTTTTCCAATATCGTTTTTACCGGCAAAATCACAATCTGGCAGTGTTGATATATTTTTTTTTTCAACAAAATTGGAGAGCGCATTTAATCTACATTCCACATCATTATTCCTATTCATCGTCTTTTTCAGGGAGAGGTGGGGTAGGATAGATGTAAAGTAGTTACCCAAGTTAAGCCCTTTTTTCAGAAATAAATTGAGATGAACGAATTGAATTCAGTAGTTATATGAGTAGGGTGAGATGATTTTATGATTCGAATAGCCATCTGAAAGGCATCCTTCATGAAAAGTATTTTGGGCTGCTATTTGACATGAGGTTTGATTTTAAAGGCAGCTAGACAAAATGAGTACTATCAATCAGGTGCAATGTTCATGTCAAGACTTGCGCCTATTATTATGTTCAAATGTCTCTCCATCCTAAATGAAAAACGGTGATTATTGTGGCTAAAACTGTGTTAAAGGTTTGGTATACAAATTCAAAAAATAAAATTACAAATAGATTTATACTTTGAAGGGTAAACTGGAATAATATGAAAAATTGTGGCCCGCCATATGATTGAGTTGTTCCTCACTCCCGGAATAAACATGAAAACCCTATCCTAAATACGTAAGTTCTGTTATTCAATAGTTTCACAGCTTTCAAATCGATTTTATATCGTCTTCTGGTCCCATCCCGCCTATTGTCAGCTGCAAACATCTAACTTTTTTATCATCCCTGATAGGGCAATTGAGGCAAGCCCACCCACTCGCGCGACTGTTAATTTGAATCTTGGTCGCGATCAATAGAAATCTATTGACGTTATTTGTACACGATATTTTTCGTCCTTCTGAGGATTATCCAAGATTGTAAAAACATGCGGTATACTGGGGAAGGTTTTAAGTTATTATCTTCTAAATGTCGAGGTTAAACCAGATTTAAAATCTTATTGTGACGTCATATGAATAAAATTATAACATTGCTATAGTGACTGAAATCATATGTATATCGTCAATTTTCGTAACTTGAATCTTTTATAAAATAACAGAAATAGGATTAATAATTTAAGAGTTATGAAGTATTTTGTATAATTTTCATACCAAGCAGATAAAAAGTATTGAATAAGTTATAGCCAGTTGCAGAGAGGTCCATCACAGTACATGTATATACTTATAAGACGGGTATTCTCAGTCTTTTGTAGTGGACTAAGAGTACAGACGTTATAATAATCAGATTTGACTATTGCTCAAATCTGGGAAAACTCACTTCTGAGTGAGTAACCAACGCTAGAGATTCAGATGAGTTCAATTTCTCGTATTTTCATCGAACGATGTTTCGAAATAATAAATGATTCATATATACTTTTAATATTGAAATGTTCTAAGAATAATGACTTGGTCATTTTTTAAAAGTCACGTGTCATTATTACAACTCGTGACACAAAATACAGTCATTCGCGATATACTTGAATTTCATAAAAATTTTGTAGATTTTTTAAGTCTTATTATTAAAATCACGTATCATATCCAACATACAAAATTATTGATTTGATAAATTTATCCGATACATAATTACAATACATTTTTTGTCTGAAGGACACTAAGAATAGCTTTTCAAGTGAAATGAAATTAGTAGTTCATTTCATGTCTGCATAATTAGAGAATCTGCTAAGTTGCTAAGCATGTCATGAAATTGTTTCAATTTACTCTCAGATAAATTGGGGGTACAATACCCATTAAACCCCGAACTCCGGGCTCCCTAGCTGCGATGAGAAAAACAGGCGGCTAATTTCTGCCTAGTCTCATCACAGCTCTTTCGAGATCGTTTTTTGGTGGTTACACAATGACGGTTAGTTACATGTTTGATTTATACCTGAATTTATGGCACACGGTAGTCAAAACAACGAAATCGCCAATCACGCTTGCAAATCTATCCGAGTGAAAAAAGTGTCCGAGCGGTTGCTAAAACTTCAATTGTTCGGTCACCGTATGACTATTGTTATGGAAATAAACAAGGAAGTCAATTTCGGGGTAACATCCATCAGTAAACAGTCCTTTTTAATGTTGAATATGCAGCGTATGTCGTTGTTGTTATTTTGAAAGATTTCTATAGCCAGGATGAATAATTAAATCGCTTACTGGTATTTGATCACCTCGAATACACTTGCACCATAGCACTTTGATATGTCGGATAAAATATTCAATCTCGTAGTCAAGGGGTCGTTGAACTTGTACTCTTTCCACCATTACGCCGTGATATTTTCACAAATCTAAGCTTAGTCATGCTGAGAGGGTTAAAATTACTTTATACCTTTCTGAGACATATTTTACTCGCTTGTGCGTATTGGGTAATCTTTTAAAAATGATGGAGGGTATTGGCTTTAGGCTGGTCTCATGAATGCATTTATTCCTTGATTCTTTGAATGGATTTTTCGTTTTTATTCTCGACTTTACCGCAAGCTGACCGCCGCGCCATTTTGAACATATGGCTACTTTTATGATTTTAATTTAACTCACCAGGGATTTAATTTGATATAATATTTTTAAACTTTGTTCCGAAGATATTGAAAACGCTAAGCCTTAATAACTTTCGTATTGATTTTCTGGTGCTGGGTTATTCTATTTCGCATTTCCAAGTTGCTTAACTTGGTTAGGTATAGGGACGGATGGAGGTCTCAATCGCTATTCGAGAGGCATCGTCTTCAGAAGATGACTGTGTTCATCTAAGTTTAATTGTTAGGGACGATCTACAAGATGTCGTTACAAATATAGCGAAGGTGCTAGCGAATATTTTTTGGGCTAATAACTTATTTCAACCGAAAGTACTTGTAACTTATGTAAGATAAATTCGAAGTAACAGTGAGATTTTAGGTACAAATGGCGGTTCGCGCAAACGGTATTCCCTCAAATAACATAAATCTCAGCGACCCATAAAACATAGTAATTTTGGTGGTGTTAGACAGGGTAGTACAATCCGGACGATATTGTTTTTGTTTTATGTTGCTTAAACGAAGCCAACTTCATCAGAAAATAGTTTGTTTAGTAGCTTTCACCGGCACTTATAAATTAGCATACCGATTTATGCTCTCGTAAGTACAATATGGAAATATTTATAGAGCGACGTAGATACGAAGTTAAAACGCGCTATAACAACATGTTTTTAAAATATAATCTTTATATTTTTTCAGAGCCTGCGAGTTTGTGTAATTCCGCAGATGACGAAGTTCTGAATTCCAGTCCCGATGCTCCAAAAAAGCGCCAAGCAATACAAAACGTAGGGCATCGTACTGGGAGTATAGGCAGCAGCCTAAGATCGGGGTCCGTCCCCGAAGCTATATTGAGAAAGCAATCATCGGCATTGCAGCGTCAAAGCTCTTACTCACAGAAGGAAATGCGGCAAGCGCAAAAATGGGTGTCAGAAAGGGAGGAGCAAGCCAGACAAATAGACCTAACTAAACCAATCCGGTTACCACCTACTGAAGAGCAAATAGGAACTAGAAACGGGAAAACTAATTCTAATGAACAGGATGAATTAATTTTACCTTGTGTTGATAAAAGAGAAGCATTGGACTGCGCTGCGTTACGGTAAGGCTTTCGTCTTTAATATACAATTATGCTCCCTTAATTAGATAGACCTTTTCCGGGTTCCGGGTTCAATGTGACACTAATTTTAATATTGGGCTCTAAAATTATTGGTAGCTTGTTACAGACAGATAAAAATGTTTTGCTGGCCCACATTTTTCATCTACAACCGTTCCCAGCAACCGGGTTGTGAAGTCGGAGTTCGGCAGGTTTTCTTTGCTGTCGGAGTCGAAATTTTAAATTCATGGGAGACAAACTCAAAATAAAATAGGTCGTTAAGCATTTAATAGTCAATTCAATAATGCTAAATAGTGATCCAAATTTGACTGAGTCTAGAACTGGAGTCGGGGTCGGAATTTCAACCCGGAGTTGGAGTCAAAATGTTTTCAAATTGGAGTTTGAATCCGGGGTCAATTTCTTCCAACTCGAAACCCGGAGCCTAACTCAACAATATTTTTTTCATTCCAAATTCGGGATTTGGATTCAATAGTGAAAATTCTTGCTTCATAAGCTCTACAAGCAACAACAACAATTGTTGATCAATATTTGAATTACTAAGTTCCACTTCCTATGGTTTATACATCGATACCCTGCTTACTTCTGAATATGTTAATTTTACACAGACTAAGAAGAATCACACAAGAAGTGGAAAATGGTCAGATTTCCCCGCAAATAATGAAAGATACGTTACAATATGCTATATCTGTACTTGAAATGAAATTTCTTAACCGGACAAGGTACTTGTAATAATAAGTTGTAATAATATTTTTATCTCATTGTGGTTCTCGAGACTAAATACTTATTATTCAACTACGCTTTTATTCCTGTAAATCGTTTATATAGCGCATATATGTTATTGTAAGATTCGACTATTGTGAGCTATTCAATAACGCTACGGGAATCATTAGTGTGCTTATGCTGGCTCGTCCATACCTAACTCTAGTTGGCATTTGTTTTTGTATAGTTTTGGTGTCTATCATTGTATGTTACACTATCAGTATCACTTTAGAATCTTATATGGATATTATAAAAATATGAAATCTCATTGGCCTTAACCAAAGAAGTTCATTCAAATGCCAATTATGGTGATTAAGAGTGACCCAAAAAACCATGAATTTCTTAATTCTACGAAAAAAATTTTTAACACTTGAATGCTCGAACTTCTGTTTATGTATAATTGTACGCAAAAGTTACAGTAATAGTACACTTTGAACCAATATTATTCCATCTAGAATATGTTCCAAATGACTGATATGTATGGAGGTTCTGTTTTGAACTACCGGAATCTTTCTAGTGGCGTGTTTTATATTAAATATTAGCAAATTAGATACATCTTTTCTAGTTATTCTGACGATGACTCTGATGCAGATGCGTCTTTACAAGGTGATAGCGTTGTTCCACCAGAAATCAAAAGGTGGTTGATGCAGACTTTCAGTACTTCAGGAATAGGTAACTATGTATTTTGAATGGTGTTAGGCAGGGTTGTCCAATCCGGACGATATTGTTGTTGTTTTATGTTGCTTGAAGGTGGCCAACTTCATCAAAAAAGTAATAATTCCGATTCTGGACTGGTTCGAATTGTCAAAAACTTTTAATAATCGTGTTAATTTAAAACAGGGGTTCCCATAGCCTTTATTCTCTCGTTTACCAAATGGCAAATTTCAAATGTAAAATTCACCCCTCCAAATTCTAGTGAGCTGTGCTATAAGTCAACTATGAAAAAATGGAACTAAAAGATAGGCGGCCTCTCTGTAGCGGGGAGCACATTGGACATCAATTGCGCGATTGATTACGTTGCAATCTTTTATGTAGTCAACAGCCACATTTGGCCATGTACTTCCTTGCTTGTATAATTTGCATCATTGGAATTTTACGATTTTTTAAAGTTTGGCTGATATTGGTTGGAATTTCTGCTACGTTTTTGATTAAATTAAAATCGATTAGCGAATTGGACGTACATCCCTTTATTTGAACTGGTTTACTAACCAAGAAAACTAATTAGTTTATAACTATGGTGGCGGAGTAAGCTTATTGATTTTTTCCAAAAAGAAGATATATCGGTATTTGTGTGATCAAACTTGCGTTGCTTGAGAATAAATAACACAAAATACTAGGGTCGCGAGTTTAAAGGGAAGGCATATTTGTCAGACGATTTTGAAATTGACGAATTCAATTTTCTAAATTTTGGGTAGTTTGTCGGATAGGTTTCACAAAATAAAAATACAAAACATGAAATCATATTATGACATCACACAATTTGAATTTTCAAATGCCATATATTAAAATTGGTGAATTTAATTACCGGGCCTTTAGGTATAGGTTATCAGATAGTTTTTACTTGCATTGTAATGAAAGGTATTTTTGACGATTGAGCACGAAGAATTCACGAAAATTTGAATTTAGACAATCGACTCCAAATCTCGACTTCGGGTTGTAAAGAAAATCAAATTTTGATAAGACAACGATAATTAGGAACGCTTATTAAACCTAATGCGTCTCGATTTTTTGTATAAAAATTTGGTTCTTTCATCAGCATTAAAAGTTTGAAAATCCCACTTCTGGGAATTTGCAATTTCGACCCCGACTCCCAACTCCGGGTAGTTTAAAAATATGACTCCTGCTCCAACTCCACAGCCCTGACACAACTTTTACAGAATTAGACCAGTATTTATCAACCTTCGTTTTTCTTATTTTCCTTCGCTTGTAACTAAATATTATTTCTTATTTTTTGTTCAAGATGGGAAATCGAAACGTAAAGGAGAACGTCGAACGTTACGCAGCGTTGTTCACGTGATGCAGGCGGGAATGTTTGTGGAGCGGATGTTCCGAAAATCTTCAGCTGCCGCGAACATGAATATATCTCCAGATATACAGCATCATTTAAGGGTATTTTCACTACTTTTCTATTTTAACTTCTTAAAGTTGTTTTAATTTCCCTAAATTACCAAACACACGATTTTAATCAGCGTATGACGTCATAATCCAATTTATGGATTTTTTTTTACCCAAAAAATTTCACTGTGACGTCACAGTGAGTCTTTGGTTGTGAAATACAAAAGATAATAACATTTAAATCGTGACAAATTTTCAACTTTTTAATGAGAAAATCACAATCTTACTCAAAATACTCGTATTTTAAAAACCTATTTAATTAAAGCACTACGTAGTACTATTCTGTAATGCAAATAGCAATTCAAATGTCGGTTGAAGTTTACTATTATCTTTCGCTTTCTTTTAATCGCTTATCCATACTAATGTGTTATTGCGATCTGAGTGTTTCAATATTACCGGTTAACCACAATGCGTATAAATAGTACAACATTGTTTGAATACATTTATTTGGAACGTTTTCCAAATATTTAATGTTTGCGTGAACCTTATGGCATAAAAGATTATTGATTTGACCTATTACTGTAAAAATTCCGCTGAATTTACTATATTTTACCGGTTATTTCTTTCATTATATGTTTCACGGCATATATGTTGTCAATGGTTTTTATGTTTTACAAAATGTAATATTTTTACGATTACAATTACGAGTATATGCTAGGTTAAATCACCGTTTTTTGGAGTAACTTGGAAAGCCTTTTTGGTTTGTTTCTTTGTTACATGTGTAATTGCCTCTCGAAATAATACTTGTCAGAGTATATTGAAATGGGCTAATGGTCTCTGACTATATAGATTGGAGTAGTATTTTTAGACTACCCGGAGTTGAAATTTTGGATTTTCTGAGCTGTAATTTCAGACCAGCAATGATGAGTCAAAACAAAACGCAAAACGCAATTTTTTCCTAGTTCGGAGCTGAAATCGGAGTCAATTTTTTTTGCAATCCGGAGACAAGATTATTCTCAAACCGGAGTCGGACTCAGATTTTTTTAGTAGTATGTTTGATACTTACTAAAATAAATTGAGCATCACTCAAACGTAATCACAAAAATCTTGAACTCTGGTTAATTTTCCTCATATGGAAATAACAACGCCGCGTTATCGTTAATCTAAATAACCTCAAAATACAAGTATACGGCACTTTCTTTTTTATAGTGTGTTGCCTTACAAATATTAATATTCCTTATTGAATGGAAGTAATTAATTTTATCGCTTTGTTTGACGTTTTGCGACGCGTGCATGAGTAGATCATTAGACAAATTTTGCTAACTTGGCAATTTGACTCTTCGCAATTTGCGTCATATTCTGAACAATAAAATTTTCGTGCGTACGTGCGTCGTGCGTAAGATATGAATATGATAAAAAGAAATTAAACTATTTGTTAAAATTTGAAACATGCGGTATGGCTCATCGTTAAGAAATATGAGAATGTTAAAGTTTCTTACTTTCAAGGGTGATACTGATAAGTCAAAAAAAATTTCAGACACTCAAAAAACGGAGTCAAAATATTTTACTATCCGGAGTCAAAGTCGAAAATTTTCTCAATCCGGAGTCGACAGCCCTTCTTTCGAATTAAATTTTGCCATTTTTCATGCTTTGTTTCTATATTTTCAGGGAATCGGTAGATGGAGATTTGACGTATTTGAACTGGAAGACATAAGCGGCGGTAATGCTTTGAAGTACACGCTATATGAAGTTTTGAGCAAATATGATTTTATCCGTAAATATAAGGTGTGGTATATATTTGATACATTTTTTATTTGTCCATCGTAAAGTTTTCAATCTAAGATATAAACAGGTGTTTTTAATAAACATAGCAGTTGTTAGCGTTTTGCTCTAATGACATTGAAAATTAGAGAATTTATTAAAATATGAAATATCTTAATCGTAACAATCCAAATTGTGGAGTCGGATCCGGAGTTGTATTTTCGGACTTTCCGGAGTCAGAATTACAGCTTTTCAATGATGATAAAATAAGTCAAAACTTACTACTAAAATTCAAAAAGCATGCGTGCATACCAAAATATACATTACTTATACAGCACATGCATCGAGTTGCTTGCTTGAAGCCTAGTTCGGAAGAAGAAGTGAAAGCATCACCGCCACCGCCAGTTGGTTTATGGTTATTTAAATTATCCGATATTGATTCCATTTCAGATTTCACCTAAAGCACTGTTCGCTTTCGCCGAGCGATTACAAATCGGGTACAAAAAGCACAATAACCAATATCACAATCCCACACACGCAGCGGATGTGACGCAATGTATTTCCGTGTTCCTTAACGAATCAGGTTTCATAGTGAGTATCACGTGATTTGATAGTTAGGAAAATATCCGCGATTTTATTTTACCTTTGTATTTATATTTCTACAGAACTGGCTAAGCGATCTGGAAGTATTCGCGATGATTTTTGCCGGAGCGATACATGACCTCGAGCACACAGGAACAACGAATAATTTCCATACACAAACGAGGTGAAGGGAGTCAACGGGTTATCATATCCGGGTTCAGTTTTACGCGATTATTCCATAATGTTGTATTGGGAAGCTAGGGGTGCTATTGCCATTTCCAACGAATAACCTATTATACCGGTATAATGACCTCTGTACCCAAACGAGGTGAGAGGAGTCATCCGATAATGATATCCGGGTTCATTTTTTCGCGAGTATTTTATAATGTTGTATCAGGAAGCTCAGTGTGATATTGCCGTTTCCAGCGAACTGGTTATCTCAGAAATTAATATGGATGAAACATATCACGAAAAGACTATTTACACATGGCCGATCATAAACCGATAGTCTGTTTATGAATTTATATTTGGCAAACAGTACCAGTAAATTGTTGGTAATTTTTCGATTTTTTATCACAGTGTGATGCATGATCCTTATTTTATTTGGCATTTGATTCCCCAAGGTCCCTATACTTTACGGTAATTATGTTGTCAAGACATGATTGCATTACACAAATTACGATGTCAGCCGTGGCGAATCGTTCGATTTCTAATTCCTGTCGGGCGGTGGTAATAAAAGAACTCGAATTTTCTACAAAATTAAAAAAAATACTCAAGTTACTAAGCGTTCATTATTAAGCTTACATTTGTTACCATTTTTTAATTTTATTGGAGTTCGGAGATGTAATCGGAGTCAAAATTTTTACAACCCGGTTTCAGGAATCGGAGCTGTGTGAGTAGTAAAAAGTTTCATGAGGCTCCGATTGTCGAATTATAAAAAAAACGACTCCGGCTCTATTCTCTTCTCCGCGATGAAAAATAATAGTCTTCGCGAACTTTCGATTCCGACCTTCACAAAATTATTTCCTAGTCTAGAGTTTAATTTTCCCATAATATTTAATTATAATATATATTTTATTATAAATTTTTAATTTCTCCTAAATTCCAACTTATTTGAATTTTGATCCCGATTTCAGTCAGACTAAAGTTATTTTTTTACGACGCTTTTTCTTGCATATCGCTCCTATCAGATTTTCTGGTGAATATTTTCTTTTTTTCTTAGATCGAGCCTCGCGCTTTTATACAACGATAAATCCGTACTCGAAAACCACCACGTCAGTGCAGCGTTTCGAATATTGTGGGAAGACCCGGAATGCGATATTCTGGGTGCATTATCGAAAGATGATTACAAGTAAGACTAAAAGTATTACATAAACTAGACTAGGATAATGGTCTCTTCTTAAAGTATTAACTGTCGTACGTTTGTGGGTACTGGTACTGGATATAAGTATACTTTTTTCCCGAAATGTTAGATGAAAAAATAACTAATATGAATCCGCTCCAAATTTTGCATATGCATTCATCATATCTCGGATCAGAAGCCTATTGATTTTGGATGCAGTATGTCGTATAATTAGCGAGTTATTAATTAATTAGTGATGGGACACAAGGTGTCACTATGGAGTAAGAGCGTGTTTTGGGGGACCCCTAACTTTCGATCAATAAGTCTTCGGTCTCTGACCGATATTATCGTTTATTGTAGTAATTAATTAGTATTTATATACTATGTTTTATTTCAGACAATTTCGAGAACTTGTTATAGAAATGGTGCTTGCAACAGATATGAGTCTTCACTTCGGACAAATAAAAAATATGAAATCGATGTTACTTCACCCAGAAAAGTGAGTTATCTTTCTGTTTTTCTTTTAATTTTTTTTGTCTGCCAATCCTTATCACTATTTTCATATATTCTAGCATGGAAAGATCAAAAGCGATGGCACTCATGATGCACTGTGCTGATATCAACCATCCTACACGTCCCTGGAATCTGCATCATAGGTATTTGTGGTTTCTGAGTTTCCAAGGTATAGATCAGGGGTCGGGAACCCATGGCTCGCGAGCCATATATGGCTCTTTTGGTGACGGCATATGGCTCCCAGAAAAATCTAATATTCTAAGACTAAGCTTACTATTGTTACAAGATTTCAAACTCTTTTATAGCCAATTTTGGCAGGAAATTCCCAAAACGTTTGAGAACGCGCGCCCAGCACATGTCTATGTTATGTGAGATAATCACCAGACAGGCATTGTGACAAACGAGGGGATTCTGGAACATATATTGTGACATCACAAAGCGATAGAGTTTTAAAAACACTACGGAGATGCCTAAACGAAAAAGGGTGATGAGAATCGTAGATTTCAACTTGGGCTGCATGTGAGCAACCGTTCAAGGCCCGCAGCGACTACATGCAGCATCAGAAATCACATTAAATGTATATTGACATTGTATGTGTTGACTTTTGAGTAAACATTTCAGGCCTGATCAAGTGAAGAAATGTTATATGGCTCGCACGGAAATGCAATTGAAAATATGTATATTTTATGGCTCTCTTGACCAAAAAGGTTCCCGACCCCTGGTATAGATAGTTAAACGAAACGAGATAGATCTATATTATATGCTTATATGTTTTTGGATAACTGCGACAGCTGAGTACGTCTGCAGAGGGATTATTCAAGATATTGTTAGCGTCGTATTACGTCATATACAAAAAGAATATAACTGTATATATACTCTTTTGTACTAAATGTCGAACTTGTCCTACTCATGAATTGAATTTCATATAAATACACTAAGCTTCTGTCGCAGTATTTATATCTTTCCTAGCCCAGAACATACCATTAATTTAACCTAATATGCTTACTTAACCATTTGCTCCATGATATATATCTATCCTAACTCAGAACAGTGGGAAATCTGTTTTTAATCAAAGATATGTCCAGGAGCCTGGACTAATAAAGCAAGCCAGTAAACGTCCGGTTTTCAGTAAATCGGTCAAGAATATAGCAAAATGTTTAGTTTATTATCTTTACACCATGTGAATGTCGTAAAATATGCTAACACCATTTATCTAGTAATCTAACTATTTATCGATAATATACCATATTTATCCTTCATTGTATTTGTACACAGATGGACATCCCAGCTTCTGGAAGAATTTTTCGAACAAGGTGACAAAGAGCGAGAGTTGCAAATACCCATATCTCCACTTTGTGATCGACACACCACCATGGTAGCGCAATCACAAATAGGTATGTTATTAATTATTATGAACGTATTATTTTAATTTGCAGACTACAATTCGAACGCCACAATACATACGGATGTTTCCCGTCCGTTAATTTGAACCTCTGCAATTATTTTTTTCATTTCACTGTTGTGGAGTTTTTAACGCGTTTTTCGGAATTTTTGCGCGTGGAAACTGTTTCACATCATCGAAATCGCGTTTCCAAGAGATTAGTGTATCCTATTTTTGATTATTGCAATCACACCTAGTCGAAAAAGAACTAGACATACAACACTGCAAAAACGAGTCAATGTTTACACAATCATGCTTGAAAATCTGTCTATGAGAAAAAGATTTCTGAGCAGTGCTTAAATTTTGATTATGACGTCACTATAGTCTTCCTTTGGTCTTTGTTACCCAAATGAGATTTCGTTTACCGAACTGAAAATTTTTCTACTCGTACTTCTGTTGATCATTTGTTTTCGTTTCTAGGTTTCATTGATTATGTTATCAAACCTACTTTTGAAGTTTTGAACGACTTATTTTGGAAAGTGAGTGTTTCTGTAACGGAAGAACCGCCAGGAAAAGGAAACTCATCCGGTACCTCGAATGGGTCAGAATCACCAAATTCAAAGCCAGGCTCAACCACTGAAAACAGTTCAGACGATGAACCGGGAGCTTCCAGGCGTCACAGCGTAGGCGTTTCGCCAAAGTAAGTGAAATATTGTTTGAATTAGATACCGACCCTGGGTTGAGAAAAGTTTGACTCTGAACTCGAGTCGTAAAAATTTTCGACTCCAAAAGAATCAGATTTTGATAGGCAAAGACATTGGCGAATGCAAGTCTTCTAGAATGAGCCATTTGAGAACTCTTATTGAACCTGATGGTTTTCTAGTTCCTGAAGATAAATTTGAGTTTTATTGAACGTATGAAATTCCGACTCCCGACGAGTTCAAAATATCGACTCGGTTGAAATAACTCCGACCCCACAGCTCTGATTGTAACTTCTTGACAAATAATAGTAAAATGGAGCATAACGCCAAGTTCAATCGAGAAGTCAATCGACCACCCAAGCTTTGTATGAAAACTGTCTTTTCCGTACAGTTTACTGGAAATTCTAGATGTTTATTTTGTTTCCTTGGCTTTTCATATATTTTAATTGAATATAGCAAGATATTAACGCTTTTAGAAACTCATCATCGATGGAGAAACCACATTTGAAAGAAAAACTCAAAGAATTTCGAAAAGCGTGCAATCATTACATGATGTCTAACCGACAAAAATGGGTTGAAAAAGACAAAGAAGGTGAGTTGCCTAACTGAGATAACGTTCGCATTGGGAATGGTGGCCTATGTTAACCCAGGGAATACTCGAAGCCATAAATCAACTTTTGTTTTAATCATAGAGCAAAGTTTGAAACAAGCAGAGGAAGAACAAAATTCTACACCGGTATCACCTTCAACTCCACAGACACAAAGTTCCACGAGTAGTGATAACGGCTCGACAACGACATGACGTTTGAACTTCAGCCTCATGCGCACTGTACTCTAGCTTTTTCTTTCTTGCTCGTTCCATTTCATTTTATTTTTGAATATATATATATTAAAAGGATAACGTATGCGATATTATCCGGATAGAACTATTGTATGACAGTCGGCTGGAATTTCTTTATTTTATAAAAAAAAAATATTTGGAAAACTATTTTTCTTTGAATTTGAGGAACAGACAAAGAAAGATGACAAGACGTCTTAATTATGAGGCGTGGCCATCTAAGGGTTCATAAAGATTCACGTATTTATGCCGGGAGACGGGACGGCCGTTAATACGTCTTAATCATATAGCGAACCAAGATCTCAAGTCCGACCAACAATTATGTCGGGTATGGCATTAGCTAGTCAGTTAGATCAGGGGGGCTAGGCGAGAGGTCACAAGATGGAATCGTCGATTTACATGCATGGCTCATGAAACGGTCTTCGCGTCCGTTAAAAAGACCGGCTTTTTCGTGTTATAATAAATTTTTCTGTCTCGTAATACCTACAATAATTCAAAATATCTTTCTATTTTAATTAAATTTGTGTTCAAGGTAACTCGCGGTTGCGGCGACTCACGACAAAATAAATTCATTACCTATCTAATATAACACGCCAATCCGCGGACATAAAAAAAATGTGATCAACTGCCCGATTATCTTTAGTTTGTATATATATTGCACTCATACAAATTCGTTGTCGTCATTAGAAAGATCTGGTATAATATCTCAGAAGAAAGTATATTTAATTTAGTACTATTAAAATACATGTAAAGTATATAAAAAATACATATTCATCGACACGAAATCCCCGCGGTACGGCTCCTGAGTCAGTTCTCGAGATTACGCCAGTCGTTAAAAAAGCCCGACATTTTCAACGAATATGTAATGGTTTTTCTGTTGATTAAAATATTCAATCCATGATCGATATATTTATTTAAAATGGTTGCTTTATTCATTCAATTGTGATAAATTAAATCTGCGATTGCGTCGATAAAATAAAAGCACCACTGCTCCAAAATAACACGGTAATCCGCAACCATAAAAATGTCGATTACATATTGTTTTGATTTGTATTCTTGCCAATTTCACCAATATGAGCTGTCCTGTAACTCTTAATCCGCTTTATCGCAATGCCACCACTCGATTAATTTCAAGATATCCCCGTTACAGATATTCCTAAGTCTGCGATCCCACGGAGTGAAATTTATTTCAAGTCTGTAGTTTTAGAACACTACTGGTGTGACGCACGCACAAGGAATTTATGAGATTTTCAATGTCTAAGAAAGTGTTTTTAATCTGTCGCGCTCCACCCTAAAACAAAACTCATGGCGTTTTCCGTTCTATTTTTAGTATTTTATAATGCCACTTTTACAATGAAGAAATTTTTAGTTACGGATTCACTTCTTTATTCTATAGTTAGCATCTCGTCGCTGATGATTATATAATAAAAACTAACTCGTTTTCCTCACAAAAAGTAATTATATATAATAGTTTTCGCGGCACTAGAATATGTCGAGGAAAATTTCGGATTTAGGGAGAATAAACACCGAAATCAAGATTTTTAGGGCTCAAATAATACTCCACGCTGACGTAAACAATGGAGATTTAAACAAAATGTAATCGCAAACGCCTTAGCGATTTTATTTTTCAGCGGTCAAGGGCCGGGGAAACGTCCACATGCATAATTAATAACTATTAAAAATGAACTGCTTTTAAATTTACATAAATTCATTTGCACTTCTCCATTTTGTTTGAAACGTTAGTGAAGCCAAGAAGTCGGTAATTGTTGCTTATTTTTAACACATAGTAAATAATTTTTGCTTTGCTCAATAGTGAGATAGTAAACAATTGATTGAAATTTTACGTGTCTTATGTAAACGTTTAGGTTTATTGCTTATTTAGTTTTACTTAATAATTAGTTTAACTTCCCCAGGTATTGCAAACTGAGCGGAAAACCGAGAATTCATGATGACCAACCACTATTTGGCATTAAACATATGACAGTGAATGGCGAAGTTGTACTCCGTAGCGTTTTGTGCCTGAACAATCTGAGCAATGACGCTATGAGCCCAACACTCTTATAGCGCCATCCTAATTTATAACAACCTGTCCATCACAAAAGCATTTTTTCAAAGCAAAAAGAGGGGGGGCGCGAAGTTTGTAAAATTTTTCAAAGGGGGGCGCAGCTCAAAAAGTTTAAGAACATGAAGCCGTAACCGAACAGTCTTTACGTGGATCACCCTGCGACGACAAGGAGTCTAGCAATCCTGCCACAGATATATATCTATAAGTAGGGTTACCATATTTTTTCGACTTCAAATCGGGACGCCTCAAAAGACAACGACCCCTTAGCTGTGATTTTGTAACTTCACATTTTCCGATTTTACTACATAGGCCTACATTTAAAGCTGTCCCGCTGTCTTTATTGACCATATTGTTATTGAAATTTCATGCGCATATTCTCTGTCCAAATACCGGGTTCAGTTCGAAAAATAGGAAGGAATTGACGTTAACGATACCGGTACACATAATTCGAATTTATACTAATTAGTATTGGTTTTACATGCATGCGATACGTCTGCCATCAATGAGAATCAGCGAGAAACGAACGCATTCACCTTCAGTAAGTAGGCTAGCCCTGCGCTACTCAGAAACAACAGTAATAGAGAACATGTTTGTGCATTATGCTGGAAAAGCGGGACAAAACGCTATAAGGGAATTCCGAAACCAAAATTCTGACATCGGCAAATCTGAAAATACGCCCGGACCTCCCATGTCACCCAACAGCAATGTAATAGTAACTGGCTAAACCACTTGATCGAGAATCTATGAATTGAATCTAAAATCCGTAACATGATTGCAGAATCGCTTTCACACCTTGATATAAGCTCAGATTCTTACCGGTCGTTTATCGCCAAGCTAACCTGCGGCTATGTTCGAGAGGAATAATCTTTAGTATAAGCTGCAACAAATTGTTAGTAGAAGCATTGACCACCAATATATGTCTTGAACAAACCCGTACGTACACTTTGCCAAATCATCCGGGTGGATTTTTTCAAGTTGAGACAGACAGTGCGCCCTATTTTGGACTCCCTATAAAGTTGAAAATGGCAAAACCTACCACCTAATGAAAGATTTTTTCACACAAAAAAGCACAAAGTTTCGTTTCAATTTTTATTGACTAAATTGTAAGATGACTACGATTTCTTCGCCAAAATGATGCCATCATACTGAAATAAATATATTATAGGTTGATAAACGAAACAAACTGTAATACAGTAGTACAAATACACGCTAATTACATGAAGATTTATAATAACAGGCCTATAAACACAGCAAGCAAAGGTGTAAGAAATGGTTGGGAATGTAATAAATTGGTAAAACTATGTGTCAGTCAGTGTGTAGCAAGATTTTCATATCACATACTATAGTCCTCTTTATCATTACTATAGCACCATTGCATTATACGGGCACTATCGCAAAAGAATAGGGAGTTAGTTCAGCTAGCATAACTCCGACTAATAGCTAAATTGATCAAATTTAGAAAATCATTGACCTGGGGAAAATAGAAAATTTTAATTTAACGACTGCAAGTAAAAAGTCAGGCTCCAATCCCAAGAACAAAAATGAGGAAATGAACCAACTCACCTTCTGCTGAAACCATCTCATGGTATCACTCTTGGTAATTCTGTGAGGAAATCCAACACGGTTCTTCTTTCTCCTGCGATATCTCACATTATACCCTGCTCTCGACATGACAATGTAGAAATCCATACCATAAATACCAATTGATGGATCGTACTACATAGAGAAAAAAAAAGAAATTTACTGATATGTTTATTTTATATACATAAACACAAATGCTTATGGAAGAAGACTAGACAAAAAAACACGATATTTCCTGATAAGTTATGTATGAGAAAGAGAGAGACTTTATTTTAGATACATAAATGTAAATGAATGCTTGCAAAAAGACTGAGTGTCCTGGGACTTTCCTTATTTTAGTTATATTACGAGTTCGGAGACTGCCTGTGTTAGCCAAGAGAATAGGTTTCAGTCCCTTTATACAACTTGATGTAAAGTAGGCGACAAAACTAGTTACCTCCATATTGGTATACACACTTCTGGAGCGCTCAACATTCTGCATATGAGTGGCTTCATAAATGGATACTTCTGGATCACCAGAAAACTCAAGTTCAACCTTATACTAACCTTGATGCCAAGATCGATATGTTCCTGGATACCAAATCCAAAGTTTCCAGTACCAGAGAAATTGTTTCTTCTCAATTCATATTCACGGACCTATTTAAAATAAAATATAAAATGTTTTGCTGTATTGACAATTTGACATACTATGATTGAACTAACACCACATAGTTCTGCACAGTATCTAGACTGAGATTCAACCTCGACAAAAAGGCGTTCATGTGCACATATACCTTGAGTCCTCTTTCCAAAATTTCTTCTGCTTTTGCTCCCCTCACTGTACAGTGAACAGCAATCTTTTCATTCCTTCTAATTCCGAAGGATCGCACTGTGTAGCGAGCTGTAACAGAATCAATTGTTAATTTAAATGTTTCAGCTGAAAACACAATCTACAGAAATAAAACAAGACCGTATTTGATTGACTTTCGAATAGTTAGGTGACATAGTACTATTCCTTGTAATTCATTTAATTTTTAGGATTATCTGCATTAATTGATTTAGCCAGGTTTTTTTTTTAGCCCATCCTTTTTTTACCCATTTACGCCTTAACAAATTTTTCAAGTTAAATTTACCCCTCTCAATTGTTCCATTTCTACAAATAAATATAATGACTCATGGAATTAAAATTGGGGTTTCATGAATAGGAAGTTCAATATATAAATTTGAATGGATTGCGTAGAGTTCACGTAGTTACAGTGGAATTGAGCTTTCATGCTTGTAAATTTCAACAAAAGGCAGGTCAAATTTACCCATCAAGAGGTAATTTACCCCCGAATAAAACCCTGGATTAATCACTAACACAAAACTCCATTATTAAATTACGACATAATTTTTAGAAATAAAAACTATACTTGGTAGAGTAAGTACAGTAAGTAGAGTAAAGTACACACAAAACATATCTTTTTTGAAGAGCAATAATCAAAAAATATCGATTGTTTAAACAAAATTATTTTAAAAGCTCTGCCAAGGCATTTAGTTTCAGTAATCAAATATTAGGCCTAAAAAAGCTGTGATAGTCTGAAGCTAAATTTGGCTATCAGTACTTTGGTAGGTGGTATATTATTTTGAATCAAAATGATGGTTATGAACATGTGAACATATATTTAAAATTTGCGAGTGCCATCTTGCAAAAACACAATTTTCAATGGCAAAGTATAGCAAAGAAATAATTCATCTTGGGCCACGGTAAAGAAAAAAAAACACCATGGAAGACAAAACTCAATCATAAGCAGCTACATTGAAGTTATCAAATATTTAACAAGTCACCACAAAATATATTGATCAGAATACATTACTATTAAAAAGGGATATATAACTATTAATAAAAGCATTGAGAGCTTGTGAAAGGAACAAAGGTATTTTAGGGTAACATGACTTTGTTGAAATGGAATTTAAACTTAATTTTATTCAAGAAGTTTGATTTTTAGAATTGAGATAATAAGTTTTTCAAATTGAAATTTCGATATCCATCTTCGGTGATAAAAGCACCATTTCAATATAGAAAAATGAATTTTATGAATATGCTGCAAATAGGGTATTCTCGTGAGATTAAAGTATAAATTAACTCAACTATTCTGTCATAGTAGGTTTCACATCTCAGATTCAATTCTCATGACCTTAGCCAAGGTGTTATAGATCAGGCAGGCAATGTCAAAACAAGAATAAATCCGATTGTTCTCAATATAGCATCGCATAACATGTCAGTGGATGTATAAACAGGGCCTTATTCGAAGCAGAAAGTGTGAATAGGCATTGTAAAAAAAACAAAGATTCACCTTTTGAGAAGACTGGAGTTTGACCAGTAAGTTGCTCCAAAACTTTGGCAGCTCTTGTCAATCTGTCACCGGATTCTCCAACGCAAATATTGAGACAGAGTTTTTCGATGCGAATATCTCGCATAACATTCGTCTTCTTATCACCTGTGTCCTGTAAGTATAAGGGACTTGATGATTTTTGGAAACGAAGGTTTTCAAATCTATACCATTCACTGATCTATTTGTTCAACCCAGAGAACTTATTTGAAAGGTTTGGAATTTTCAAACCCAAAACTGCAAAATATTTACAGAGAACCGGAGTAAATAGTTTGATTTTGACAATTGCAAACCACAGATCATGTTTTTATACAAAACATTTTAATTGCATATCACTCCAAACAAGGCCTGCACATGCAACCACATCTTAGTAAGAAGCAACTAGAATTTGGAAAGAATTTGGGGCTAGTGTAGTTTCGTACCGAAAGTCCAAGGGGGTGTAGCATAACAGTTTTTCAAGTGTCAATCCTAACCCGCACCTGACTGCTCCATCCAAATATTATGTCACAGTGACGCAATAAGGGCATTCAAACTATACGCACTGTCATACGAGTTGCGCAGACGATCACCTGAAATGCAACAAGCTATTCTCATGTTTTCTCGTCGCAACGATCCTGATACTGCGATATGAGAGAAATTGCTGCCGTTAGTGAGTTCTTTATCGTCGGCGCAGATACCATTCCGGACGATCGTAGGTATAATTTGGCAAGCTCTATGACGTGTTTGTGATGGAATTTTTGGATGACGTAGCCAGGTTTGACATGTGCAAAAATCGTTATGCTACGCCCACTAGAAGTACTTTAGGTACGCAAAAGTACACGAGACCCAGAATTGCTGCCGATTCAGCATTGCCTGCAAATTACAGTATTACACCGATATAAAATGATTTAGATCAATCCCAGAATTTAGCTATCAAACGATGAAACTGTTCATTTCAGCATTTAACTGTTTGATGTGACCTGCCCAATAATTGAATGAAGTGATTGAAGACCATATTTTTTATTTCCACCTTGTATCATAGACTATAATGCGCTCAATGTGAACCAGTACTGGTACCGCACTGTGGTGTGTAAAAACAACCAAAATTGAGTTAGCAAGTGCAGAAGTCTGGAAGTGGACAAACACTGAATCCTGAAATCAGCATCTTGCTAAAAACTATCATGCTTTTCATTTCACAGTCCCAGCAATTGAGAGTTTTGGAAAATATCAATAAATTACCACAGACATGGAAGTGCGAAGGAGATACAGAGATAGGCTAAATAAAAATTTCAGACGATCACAGGTTTCAGGCCAAATTTCGCACGGTGAATCAAGTTACTTTCCAATATTATCAGCAGCTGAGACCTTCGCCACATACACTCACGTCATTCTTACACTTTACTCACTCAAAATTACTATCAGTAGGGCACACATATTGTCAAAATAGCCATTTAAAAACACATTTTGAAGGACAAAACTGACAAACCTCCGCCATGATGTTGGCCGCCGGGAAAAGAAATATCCGCGTGGGATTATGGGTAAAATAGAGACTTCCGCGATGTATCGGCAATTTTCCCACGTTCAGGCCAATATAACAGATGCCAGATGAATTTTTTATTATATTTTTATATTTAGTATTATAAACTTGTTTTAGTCATAAATCAACAATTTCATTAGGGAAAAAGTATAAGAGTAATAAAATTTGCCAAATTCTTCAGAATTTTTGCATCTAAAATGTGTAATAAATAATAAGAGATAACACGGGGTCAAATAAGACAGTGATTGTCGTAAAGGAGAGTCTGGTGCAAGCTAGAACAGTTCATCTCAACCGGGAATTAGTTATTTGTATTATGTACGTTAAATAGAAATAAACTGTTGGCCACAGAAACACTACAGGCTACAATCTTAGTGGAAAATCCGGGAGGAGCAGACAGCAAACTATATACCAGGGATGGCGAACCATTGACCCGCGTGACCCACAAAGTGACCCACCGAGTTTTATTCGTAACCCGCCAACGCACGAATAAAATTTAAAAAAAAGCTAACATATCAGTACTCAAAATTGATAAAACCGGCCTTAAATTAATTTACCAATAACTAAACTATTATAATGTACCGTCAGTTGGGAAGTCAGGGCTGCGATCGCTCATATTCAAATTATTAATTTATGGGTCGGTATGGAAATTTTCAAAACCCCTAATCTTGGACGCATGTCTGCACCGCTGTGTACCGGTTTCCAGCTATTGGCTCTGATATCGTTTATGACATAACAATGCAATTGATCTTTTCATTTCTCGCAACATTTTCTCTTTCTCTTTCGGAAGCGCAACTACAGACTGTTTTAGGGATTATACGAGAACTAGATGCTACTAAATTGCATTTTATTAGTTTCTCTCCTACAATACCGTTGAAAAAAAAATCATTCAGACCCGAATTAAAAACCTAAAAATCTGAAACAACAGTGGGGAAGTGTAAAAGTGCTTTAATGTGGTTGAAAGATGATCGCTATCAGAGTGGAATTCCCTCCAAACTCTTTGGAACCGTTAAACAATTTGCTACATCATACTAAACGTTTTTGGTAATTCATATGCGTGTTTTCGTACTCTAATTTCATAAAATCGAGTGCCATAAAAAGGCCCTGATAGAAGTGCTACATAAGTGAAGCCCAAAACTACACCAACACCAACAGAAGCTTATAAGATTAGTTTCAGAATTTTCTTAATGATACAAACATTGATAAAATATCTGTGACCCACTCTCTTCCGCACCGCGATAAATATATAATTTTTGACCCATTCATTGATAAAGGTTCGCCATCCCTGCTATATACTGTATTACTCATTGACTTGCCAAGCGTGACGTCTATTAAATTTGTTAATTAATTAGGACCTTCATCACACCCGATCCCTGTCAGTAGCGTGGCGCAAGGGAAGCGTATAGGTATGGTAATAGGTCAGGCCAGGTTCGAGAGGTGTATGCACATCAGACAAAAAGTGCGGAAAGAAAAAGAAGACATGAAAAAAGAGAGCAGAGAGAAATAGCGGGAGGCACCACATACAGCAAGCAGGTCAGGCAGAAAAGTCCAAAAGAAGCCCGGTGAACAGGAAGGAAAAGGGTATACAGAAAGGTCCCCGGCAAAAAAAGATGAATTGGAAAAAAGAGAGCAGAAAGAAATAGCGGGAGGCACACACAGCAAGCAGGTCAGGCAGAAAAGTCCAAAAGAAGCCCGGTGAACAGGAAGGAAAAGGGTGGGCCAGACAAAAAAGTGCGGGATTAAAAACATAGCGGGTTGCATACAGAAAGGTCCCAGACAAAAAAAGATGAATTGAAAAAAAGAGAGCAGAAAGAAATAGCGGGAGGCACACACAGCAAGCAGGTCAGGCAGAAAAGTCCAAAAGAAGCAGTAAAACAGAAAAGAGAAAGAAGGCAGGATCAGGCAGTAAAGGACAGGATCAGACCGAAAATATAAGGCAGATGGGACAAAATAGGTAGGTCCCACAGAAGCAAGTAGGAAAGTAAAACACGGGAGAGGGAAAGAAAGTAAGTAGTATATAAAAAGGCAGATCAGACATAAAAAGTCCAAATGGGAGAAAGGGGGTCAAGTCAGATCAGACAAAAATAGCGGGAGCAAGAAAGGTGGTTGGTTGGTTTAAACAAAAAAAAGTAGGTCAGACAAAAAAAACACGGAAGAGAGAAAAAAAAGTATAAATAAAATAGAAGGCAGATCAGAAACAAAAAGTCCGATTGGGAAAAAAGGAGGTCAGAACAACACGGGAGAGAGAAAGAAAGGAAAATCAGACAAAAAAAGGCCGAATGGGAAAATAGGAGGTCAGTTAGATCAGACAAATATAGCGGAAGCAAGGAGGGTGGTTGGTTGGTCTATGGCAGCGTTTCCCGAACTTTTTCGGCCACGGAACACTTACACTTTTGATCTCGCCTCGCGGAACACCAAAAAATGAAACAATAAATTGATAGAGAAAACCGGTGTAATGTAGCGGTTCCCAACGTAGCGGAGTTGCTGAATGCGCGGCGAAAACTTACAGAATTGTGTTAAACATACCTAAAATATGATTAAATATTTTACATATTGCATTTATTATACGCGTTTTATTGTTTCTTAGTTCAAATGCTGTGTATATGAATCAATTAATTCATTTTACCATTCTATGGCGTTTATTTTCCATTACGTAATGTTTGCCTCTAATGTTACGTCTAATGGAAATAAAAGTACTTTCCGCAATTTCGCGAGCTCCAGACCTGCTGTTTATTTATTTTTTGAATAGAGTTTACCGAAAATGATTAATTTTTTCAACATTTTAAAGTAAAACCAGGCAGAGATGGAGGAAGAACAGTTGACCTTTTGCCTTTATTCTTTAAACCTACTTGATTACCTATAGAAAAATCAAAAACATTTGATAATGAACTTAACAGTCAACAATCTAGGCCGACGGTTAAGGAAAATGCCACTACTTCGCCCTAGTTAGTCCGTATTAGTATTTGTCTACAGTTAGTCCACTTCGGGCCGACGATGACGCGATATAGAACGGTCAGTTGGGCGACAACTTCACGATTCTTAGATCGTCATGGGTCTCATGACGACCATTTTAGACGTAGGCTATTTAAGATTCCTTCTCCACGGAACACTTCGAAGACGCTTGCGGAACACTAGTGTTCCGCGGAACACAGTTTGGGAAATGCTGGTCTATGGCTATGCAAAAAAAGTAGGTCAGACAAAAAACCCGGAAGAAAGAAATAAAGTATAAATAAAATAGAAGGCAGATCAGAAAAAAAAGACCAAATGGGAAAAATGGAGGTCAGATTAGACAACAATAGCGGGAGCATACAGGAGGAGGTGGCAAAAAAGTAGGTCAGACAAGGTTGGTCTATGCAAAAAAGATGGTCAGACAAGAAAAAACACGGAAGAGAGGAAAAAGAGTATAAATAAAATAGAAGGCAGATCAAAAAAAAAAGTCCGAACGGGAAAAAGAGAGTTCAGATCAGACAAAGAAGAGTTGGATGTTTCAATGTCTGTCCCCTGACCATAAAACTGATGATCAAGACAGGGAGGCATCAGACAAAAATAGCTAATCTACTAGGGTTGGGAATAGATGGTTGTTCACAAAAGGCAGATCAGATAAAAACATTCCGAATGGAACAAAAGGAGGTCAGATCTGACAAAAGTAGCGGGAGCAAGGAGGTAGGTCTATGCAAAAAAGTAGGTCAGAATAAAAAAAAGTCCGAGGGAAATGGATGTTATGTTGGATGTCCTCTGTTCATAAACAGATGATCAAGACAGGAAGGGATCAGACGAATATAGCGTATGGGTTGGGCATAGATGATTGTACACAACTCCGAAATATAGGCTATACTAGAAAGCTACATTATGTTTCTGGTTACCCTGCCTGATCTTGAAACTAGTGTCAACTAGTAGCAGACAAAGAGGCGGCGAATATGGAAGAGAGTAGGATGTTTTATGTCCCTGATCATAACAGGGAAGACAGAAATCAGACGAAAATAGCGTGATAAAAAAAAAAAACAGAGCTAATAGAGGTCAAGCAAAAACGTCCGCCGGAGTGCGGAAAATGAGTATTGTTTACAACAGGGGCCAAAATTCGAAGCAGAAGGATATTCGCAGACCAGAAAAGGGGAGCGGCAAAAAGGGCGCGAAGACACGGCTGTGGTTCGTTCTGTGAGTAAAAATTTTGAACAATATAGGCACTAAAATAGGCTACAAGCTTGATTTTAGATACACCTAGCATCGCTAGGCTTGCACGTAATTGACAAAAATCAATTCCGTAATTACGGCCAAATCGATTACGTAATGACCCCGTAATTGCGATATTTTTTTCACACATTTAAACCTATCATAACAACAAATTTAATCCACTTCTATTCCGAATGGGACATCGAAGTTTGGTTTTCATATTCCCGGCAGTACTACACGCCGGCGACAGATGTTAAAGACAAATATCAAGGAGTGAATTCAAAATAATTTTATTCTGATTTTTATCTTTTGTATTAGCTTTGATTTTTTTTTTTATCCACTTTATCACCAAATTTTATGCGATCAATTTTATCATTACCAACACTGGTAATATATTTAAGAAACGATAGTTCACTTTTTTTAAATCGTATTAACGTATTAATACGACTTTCGTATTAAATAAAAATTCTGGGTTGCTAATTTATTAATCAACTACAAGCGTATTCTCTCGTTTGATTATACTTTCGCTTGCCTCGCGACGAAGACTTGTTATTTCACCGTTTTTTACAATATCCGACTTTGAAACCAGGTGTGTTGACGTTCATCGGTCTCAACACAATTCTATTCCTTATCTACGGTTAATATGTACATTGGCCATCCTAGATGGTGACCGTACATTTGAACCCACGTACATTTGAATCCATGCGTATATCCACGGGTTCAATCTATATGCGGGTGCTAAAACCCATGGGTTAGGGTTAGTATGGGTTTAACTATCCGTGAAACAAAAAAAATTCCATAGGTGCAATAGCAATCAGGTGCAATTGTCATGGGTTCAAATGTACGTGGGTTCAAATGTAATGGAAC